GGCCAATGTTGGTAAAATATTCATTGAAGGCATTAGCTATTTCCTCAGTAGAAGTAATATTAGAATCATTAATCTTCAATTCATTCACAATGGTGTCATTGGGAGATCGGCCTATAACAAATTATTAATTGTTTTCGATGCCTGTTTAGGATTATTTTTTGGTGAGCTAGCTATATTAGTACGATAATACTCAGCCTTGGCATGTCGTAAAGCAATATTTACCCGATTCCTGGATGTTTTATACACATCCCAATCGGAACTTTGTTTTATCACCATCGCTTTACGTTTCTATCTCTATCAAATATAAGTTTTTTAATATCCGCGGTCGCCCACGGTACACTATAGACGACCGCTTCCTAATTTGTTGAATTGGGGCATGTTTATCAAGAATGTCAGTCCAGAAATAGCTCCTTCCAACAGACCCACATAGAATCAGTATCTGACTTTAATACAATCTGTTCCCAAGGTTGGGTCAACAGATCCTCACTAAAGCGCTCTTCATTAAATCGTTTCATGATTCTAACTTCTAACTTATTTTCCTAATACTAAAGATTAAGCTATGCATGGTCACTAATTCCTGTAGGTATTACTCCAGACTGAACGACTTTTTCTGGCATAGATGTAATATAGGCTAATGATCTATAAGAGTGCATGAACTAATCGTTATTCGTGCAGCCTCAGTGATGAGTTGAGATACTTTAGTTATGTTTAGTGCTTTAGTTGGGTGATTGGGAATATTTGTCAACATATTACATTTAGGTCTCCTAAGATGTGAAGTTCTTTATTTTCGTCATCAATCACTTTAATCATTTTTGTATCTGCGAAGCAGATATATTGCTATCGCAAACGTACCGTATGTTAACACATAGCCATTCAGCGACGAGCTTATATAATTGAGCCAATTCATGATAATTTAAGCCAAATCACCGATTAGTTTACATCAATTGTTTACATCGCGATCGTGCCCGCATCTAACCTGCGAACGGGCATCGTTTGGACTCGTGATTCGTGAATATTCTTTGCTATTTTCACATTTTGGCCACTTTTGGCTTCAAAAATATCTTGATTTTAATCTTGAATTGGCTGTCTTGTTTTCACGATTCTACTTGCGATCTTATTCCGAAGTTATCTATCAACATGGGAACTTATCCTCATCTGGTAAGTAGTGAAATACCACATATAATGGCACAAATTTTAGTATCTACATCTATACAGTATTACGTAAAAACAATCATTGTATCAAAACATAGCAGGCAATATTGCCAATGAACAAAATTATATCACAGGAAACTAATGTTCTCAGATATTGAATTTAATCCTGGTCCTGTAGTTCAAAACATCAGTCCACCTAAGCTGTTGTCTTTACACATTTTGGTTTTACACATTAGAGTTTGAATATTAAACAAAATTTTTACAAACATTTTCAAATGCTAATAAAAGAATCTTCACCCTCCCTCCTCATTACATTGTCATTTTGCTTTCTAACATAAATGTTTTTGTTTAGAGATTTATACAAGAATGATGAATAAGCTGGATATTGGCTAGATAATTTTGTCAGAACAACCCACTTGCATTGGTATGAAAAATAACTTAACAGCTACTATATTAATCATATTATATGGATGGATCAGATCATTGGCACACAATGTACAAAACTAAACTTGTGATACCTTTACTCAAACCGATATTCTCCCACAACACGAATTGTTTTCGTGTGGGTATGGTTGTGTTAAAGTGAACAGTGACGTATGGTAATATATACTTCACTCATGACCTTCAAAACTCAGTGGTCTTCAAAATATGATTGACTCTTTGCTACAGTAATGCATGTTCCTCGAATAGTTTGTTTGTGTTACTAAACAGTTAACATTGGCAAGTGTAAGCAACAAGTGACAGAACTTTTGCTTCATATGATTACAATAAAGTTTGGAAAATCATGGTTTGACAAGTGACAGTTTACTAAATAGCCGGCTGTTGGCTGTATAGACACTTCAAATATTGTTTGCATGAAATTTTTATTTCTTGACTGCATAATTATCCGTTACAATCACAATCACATTATAAAATTAGTTACATTTTTGCCGGGGGGGGGGGCAGTCGTTCTTGCTGATCTCCGCTAAAGTCTTATTTGCTATTATATTTATTTTAATAAGTGATGAAATATTTCAATTGTCCCATGTCATCTTATTATTCAGTTCCTTTCAAGAAAATGCAAAATGTGAATTAAGTTTTTTCGCAGATACATGTACGCGTTGCGTACCTATTTTTTCAAATGTTAGGAAAAACTCAGGCGTGGAGCTCGGTGGTCGATAGACGGATGCAACAATAAAGTTTCGAGAATTTGGCTTAGAAATTTCCAAACAAATTGCTTCAATATCGTCAGGGACCAGATCATTTCGAATTTTATAGTTGATAGTATTACGGAGGTAGATACAAACACCTCCCCCTCTGCGTGATATGTCGTTCCCGACGATATCGTTGCCACAAATTTTGACTAGACCATCCAAAATTGACGAATCCAGTCTAGTTTCATTCAAAGCAAGCAAGCAAGTCAAAATGGAGAAAGAGTTTATATTAGATATGCGTAATTCGTCAACATGATTCGGAAGACTGACTATATTAAGTAATGCTATTTTAAAACCCCAAACTCGGGATTAAATTCCGAATTAAATTTGAGATAAGTTCATCAGAATCCGCACTCACACTCTCAAACTGTCACTTAGTAATACCAAGCTCAAAATTATTTTGTAACAACAGGCTGCCAGAGGGATTTAAGGTGGCTCGCTACAGTTTATAGAAATGTTGAAAATGCGTAAACTAGATCACCTTTTTGAAGAGATGATGCTCTTTACAAATCGAAATTTGTATATTATATATACAGCGACAAACAAACAGTCGAAAATTGGTCAGAAAAGTGACTTCACCATTGTTGCTATGGCAACAATGACGATTCAAGATGGCCGATATTTTGGCTTTGAACGCATTTTACTTTTAAAAAAGGTCGGTTACCCCCATTTTTTATTTCAGAAAACATTTTCTTATAGTGCAATGCACTATCTGACCAATTTTAAAAAAATTCTGTAATGCAAAAAAAAATTATTTCGAAAAACCATGTTTATAAATTTTTTAAAAATTTGGCATTACAGAATTTTTTTAAAATTGGTCAGACAGTGCATTGCACTATAAGAAAATGTTTTCTGAAATAAAAAATGGGGGTAACCGACCTTTTTTTAAAGTAAAATGCGTTCAAAGCCAAAATATCGGCCATCTTGAATCGTCATTGTTGCCATAGCAATAGTGGTGACGTCACATTTCTGACCAATTTTCGACTGTTTGATTGTCGCTGTATATATAATATACAAATTTCGATTTGTAAAGAGCATCATCTCTTCAAAAAGGTGATCTAGTTTACGCATTTTCAACATTTCTATAAACTGTAGCGAGCCACCTTAAATGTAATCTATGTTTAATATTTATAATATGTAATTCCCTATTAATATCATTTTATAGTCCATTTTACACGAGCAGTCAATCATAAGAAACATTTGTAGAAATGTAGTCAAGCGAGCACGGCCATGCATACGAGCCTATGTCAATTTTGAGAATAATTTCTGACATTAATTTTCGATTCATACCTGTAAAAAATTCATACCTGTTCAATTAATAAAGTGCTCGTTGCAAAATAAGAGTTCAGAAAATGTAAATTTTCAAGTTGTTTAATTATATTTTGAGATCTTGTGTTAATGCACGCGGGCTCGTACCCAGTGCCGGTTTTTCAGCAATCAGAATCGAGTAAATTGTCTAAAATGATATTATGAATAAAACCTAGTCATTACACTCCCACGTTTAACACAAAACAAATACTAACCAAATATCGTCGCGGTATAAATCTACTCCTCCAAATTCAGTCCATGCTGGGCCTGACCACTGTGCCAGTAGTGCCTCGTTTGAGATGTCGGATTTTATACCCAAATCAAAATGTTTCTGTGCATACATCTTCCAAAAATATTTTTCACTTAGAATGGTCTAGAAAGAAATAAAAATTTAGATCTACAATCTGGTAAGATAGTATACCAGTAAAATGTTTGACTGTCCCAAATTGTTAACCATTGCATGATGCCCAAAACGTTTCGAACTAAAGTAAAATCATAAGCATGTATTGCAGCTTAATAGTTATTATTACTAGTTACTGATCAGACAATTCTCACTGTCTTGCCACGTACACGACATTGAAAATTGTCTGTAAATGACATATTGCGTTCTGCTTGCCCCAGAAATAAACAACATGGCGGCAAGACAAATCAAACCAGGACTGAAGCACGTTCTTGCAAAAAAACTCGTCAACAGAATTTGAAAGTAATGCGTATTAACGCTTTTTTGCATATTCATATTTTTATTTTAAGTTTCATTCTCATGTCGAGATGTTGTTATATACTGCATCGTAAGGCCGATGAAAATTCATATCATGTTTCTCGTCGACAACTTTCAAAATTTTCATTTTCATTATTTTTTGTATTTGAATTCTGCTTGACAATAATTTCCTTGACCCAGTAAAAACCCCCATAAAAATCTGAAGTAAATCGGTGCATATATAATCCATTTTAATTTAATACGTCCTACACTACAGCATATTTCTACACATACCAGGGCTGAGGGCTGGCATGAAAAATAGAGGCATTCTGGCGAGTAATATCTTTAGAAAGATACAATTTGAGTTGCGCTTGCGGAAAGCAGCAATAAGACTTTGATCTGGAGATCAATTTGGTGTTTTGTTAAGCCTATTTTTCAAAAATAATGAATAATGAAAAATTTTCGTGCGGCAGATAAATCCCATGCGGGCGGGGACGAGAAACATGATATCAATTTTCATTGGCCTAAGCCCAGGCGGTGGTCGCACTACGACCGCAATGCATCATGCGCAAATAAAAAATTCGCTCAGTCGTGCTGCAGGCGCGGAGGTGAAAGGTTGTCTGTCAGTCGAAACATACTGTAGTCGAACAATGGGAATAAAAACTCTTTTGCCGTTTGTAAAAGAAGCTACCACCAGGGTAAATATAAAAGACTTTGCTGGCCAGGTTTGTGCAGTCGATGTGTCGTGTTGGCTTCACAAAGCGTTGGCTGTAAGCTACAAGGAGTTTGGCGATGATCGCAGGTTTGTATTTTATTATTTACCGTAATAAATACAGTTTAATTTCTGCATTATTCAGTCGCCAAATTTGTATATTTACCGTATATGCGCAATCTGCTTACAACTGTATTGTTATTGTAATTACTATATGCAAATTTTTAAGGGTTATTGATATATGTGAGTCTTTCCTGAGAGTCTTGATAGCAAACGACGTGAAGCCATATTTTGTATTTGATGGCTTGCCTCTTCCCGCCAAGCAAAGAGAAAACGAACAGCGTACCAGGCAAGAATATTACTCATACATTTACATTGCTTAAATTATACTTGTAGATGAAATATGACTGTACGAGCTCTTCACTTCTTGGATAAAGTGTGCCTAAATACTTTGGACGTATTTTTTCTATAGACAGAGGAGCAAAGATCGTGAAAATGCAACCTATTTCACAATACTAGGTGATGAAATTGCTGCAAAGAAAGCCTTGGCAAGAGCTGCCGAAATTAGCAATGAATTAGTAAGAAAGTTGATAAATGTAAGTTTAAACGTAACATATGCGTACTTTTAACAATGTAAAAGGACTTTACATACTTTATAATTCTCGACTTTATACAACCGGCCATTATCTCGTCTAGAATGGTGACCAACATGGTCCCCAAATTAATTGTCTTTAAGGGATTGGACCATTGTTTATCTTGGCAAGTCAAGAATATATACTAGCTGCATGAGCAACAATCGTCTGGTGTTACAAACGTGTGTGTCACGAGCTTTCCCCACCCTGGGAGCCCCGGCTGGGGGGGGGGGTGACCATGCAGACAACCAGGTATGGAAGTGACTTTGAAAATAATATAGCTTGTGGGATGGGATATAGTGTGGCATTTTAAATAAGTTTTTGCAAATACCCCACTATTACCATTTACCTGTGGTCTGCAGGGAGGGGGAAAGACGATGAGACATGCATTAAAATGGGAGATATGATACCGGCAGATGGTTGTGTTACTGCAACTGTCAATGCCAGTTAATTGGGTTATAGGATTTGTTTTGACAGATATACATAGTCCATTTTGACATTTAGATTTGTTGTGAAAGAGACATTCCCTATATAATGGCACCATATGAAGCAGATGCCCAGATTACCTTCCTTGTAAATAAAGGATATGCTGATTTTGCTGTATCTGAAGACTCAGATTTGCTTGCATATCAGTGCAAAAAGGTATATGTGTATTTTTAACAATTTGCCATAATAAAAAGAAATGATGGCATGTTGATCTACCTACAATCCCAGGCCTGCTACAATCCTTTGCAGGCAGCAAGCATAAATCTGCAAAAGAGTGACAAGAAAAACAGGCAATGACATGAAACTTAAACCGATAAGTATAACTGACATCTTGTCTATTGTGTGTTATTTAAAAAAACATTTGACTGTTGTTTTAACATTTCCGACTGCAATGCACTGTGGGTAAATCAACAGCCGCCATCTTTTTTATTACGGCGGATTAGATTACAAGCTTGAGATTTCTATATCAGGCGATAGTTACAGTACTATCACATAGAAATCGAGAGCGAATAATATTTTTTTTTGTTAAAAAAATCCAGTAAGAAAACAACATTTCAAAAAGTTTTTACTATTTTACTTGTGATAAACTGGCAAAAAAATGTGACGAAGAGATGGTTTTTCACTACTCACTATCTATCAACAATGCAGCATTTGCATTAGGACTCAACTAACTTTTTACTAAATATATATAGAATACAGTTATTTTTTATAGTGCTGGATAATGGATTCATCACTGGGGAGAACCAGATTTAATTTTTTGCACATGAATAATAGACCTTTTTAAGCTTGTAGAATGGGGCATTCCAGAAAACATCGATACCACCCCCCCCACGGAGGAAATACGAAGTTAACACCCCTACCCCCTTCGGATGTCCTAATACATTTACTATTATCAGAAACAATTTTTTCTCCCCTCCCCCTCCGGACGGCAGAAATTTCCTCCGTGGGGGGAGTATGGATCTTTTCTGGAACGACCCAATAAATTATTTATTATGATATTTCAGGTACTGTTTAAGCTACAAACAAATGGGACAGGTGACTTTGTGGAGCTGGAAAAAGTCTTGAAATATTTAAACCTAAATGCAGATAAGTTCACTGACATGTGCATTGCTGCTGGCTGTGACTACCTTGATAATATTCGAGGCATTGGAATTAATAAGGCCAAGAAAATTGTTTCCGAGAACGAAACATATCTAAATGTATTGCAGACCTTGAAGTTTGCTCCAGCTGCCTACAGCAAATGCTTTGAACAAGCTCGGATGGTTTTCCATTTTCAAACAGTCATTGATCCAAGCATATGTGAGACTGTCCCATTAACTAATGGTGACACTATGGACAATGAAATTCAATCCATTTGTGGAGAGTATCCTCTTGTAGCATAAAATATGAATTTATTCTCATGAACTTCTGTTTTTCTGGTAGAGTCTTTATCCTTAACAGCAGTATTTAGCTTATTATCTAAGCCATTTGTCTTAGACTTGGCTGCTGGAAATATCAATCCCAAAAATCGGGAAAAGAATGGGTCATTTGATCATGTACCAATGAGACAGGTAAATTTTTTGGAATGAACTGAAAAAGTGAGTGCAGTGTGCATATATGTAGTTGTGCATAGTGAAACGTTTTTAACTCCCATGATAATTATACAATACAGATATTGTCTGGAAACTACAGTATGCAAGCATCTGCATTGTGTAACAACATTTCGTGTTGCATGAGACCTCTTCACCATGATTATTACATGAACTGTTTGAAATTTGTCTTATTTTGATTTTGATTTTTCCATAGTGTGCACAGGGACGCCGGAACTGGGGGGGGCAGGGGGGGGGGGCGGCTGCCCCCCTTGCCTTTTGCTAGGGGGGGGCAGAAGTGCCCTTTTAGTTGTAAAATATTATGTGATAAATCATATTTTCAACGATGCTTTTTGTAGGAAAATCATGAGATTCAGGCAGTTTATAGGATATATTTGACTTTTGGTATGTCTGGAAAAAAATTTTGACCCCATAAAATGGTACACTGACCGAAATTTTTTTGGCGACGGGGGTGTGTGGGTCGCCCAAAATTATCATTGAAAAATAATTTTCCGGTAGATTTTGAAGTTTTGCTCTATGGAGGTGCCCTTGGTGTGCGTCCGCCCCCCTTTGCCTTATTATCGTTCCGGCGTCCCTGAGTGTGCAGATGAACACTTTGTTCATTATGCTGCTTGCTTATTTAATCAATTAACAATCTAAAGACAGAGTAAAACACTAAGTGGGGCAATTGTGGCACATTACCAATTATACACCAGCAGATATTGTACATGAAGTTTTATTCACCCAGTAGCTGACAGTATTTAATTACTGTAAGTAATTGAATACTGTCAGTTATTGTTAGTTCATTCATTTGGCAGTTAATACTGCAGGTATTATTATGTGTGTTGATGTTTTTTCAGACCTATAGATTATATATATATATTAGTACTGTAAAGAAAGCAATTGATGCATCAACACGGAACATAGTGTAATGTCATAGAAATAATAGATATCTATTATTTCTATGTGTAATGTGTAACATATCATTAATTTGTTGTGCAATGTTGTTTTGAAGGTACCTACTACTTGTGAAGACAGTGACAGCAAGCAAGTTGCTGATGATGAACCACATGGTATTGCTTGTTCTGTTAACTATTGTCACTTTTGCTTGTAGGAAAATGTATATAGCTTTGTAACTAATGGAATATAATATCCTATAATGAATGTAATAATCTTTCAGTAAAGATTTACATTTACAAATTCTGGTTCATTTTTAGAAGTTGTAGTGGACACAGTAAATACACCATGGGATATTGAAATCATAAGTATTGATGATGCCACATTGCCGTGGACTATCCCAGACTTCCCTGTTGTGACAATAAACTTTAAAAAAGTTACATTCAAGCAAGGAGACAAGAATAACACTGGCCTGGTTAATGGTGCTGAAACTTTTGCACCAACAAAATATACATGCACAAAACATTGTACTATTAAGTTGCATGATGAAGAGTACACTGTTCTTTGGGAACTAAGACCTTTAATTCAAAAGAAAACATTAAAGAAATCCACAACCGCACGTGATGAAAGCACCAAACCAGTTGCCAATAAGGAGTATCTCAACCAAGTCCAAGAGAAACACACATTGGCATTCAAGGTTCTTGGAACCTGCTTCTCCAAGGAGAGACAAACAAATTTGGAAATGGCATATGAATGCATGGAAAGAAACAGACATGTTTTTATTGACCTTGTTCCCGAACCCGAGAACACACATGACCCAAACGCAATTGCTGTATGCATCATGTCGCAGGACGACTTTGAAAAGGTTGGATATATACCTCGAGAATTAACTGGTTTCATACATCCCCTTATGCTAACTGGTGATATGGACGTCTGTGTGAAGAGTATTCGCTTCAGAACCAACTATCTGCGAGTTGGATATTATCTTACGATAAACATCACAAAAACAGGACTTTGGGATGATGCTGTTGTCGCAGCGTGCAAAAATATCAGATAGATCTGATATTATAACCTTACAGAATACAGTAATAATCTAAAACTTTATTCTTATTGTTGGTTTAATAAATATTTCTACATCTGATCCCTGTAAATTTACACTACTGTACATGTCTTGCCAAAAAGACAAATAAATAAAAATAGAATGTTACTGAATGGTATAACAATTTTAAAGAACACAAAGACAAAATACAGTACTTTGCGAGGACAAAGTATAATACAGGCCATGTATCAAAATACAGTATGCATGCATTACTAAAACTATTATTTTACTTTAAAGCCTAGTTTCCATTTGGCCGTTAGTTGTCGGTGGCACGACAAGCGATAGATGTGAAATAGTTTAATATAATAATCTTTGTTGTTTTATATATAATCTTTGTGTGTCGTAATGATTGCAGAGTTTTGTAAAGTTTTGTTGACACTCTATTACATCAGCCATTTGTCGTGCCAACGACAACTAACGACCAAATGGAAACTAGGTTTAAGTGAACGTGTCCACAGGAGTGCGCGCACAGTTAACTAAACACGGTTATGAATATGAAGACTGGTGATCTTCAAATAGTTAAAATGAAGAAATCCGTTACTTTAATACGCCTTTATGGTAATGTTACTCGCAACAACTTTTAGCGACAACTCGTAGTGCAAACGAAATTGCGCAAAATTTCATTGCCATTGGTTCTGGAACGATTCGCATTACGAGCTCTCGCTAAAATTTGTCGCGCAACATTGGCTTTAGAGGTTCACAGATCTATCTTCATTTTTGTTATGCGCAGAAAAGATGCGCAAATGGTGACACTGTCCCTTTAAGCAGAGCAATTGTTCAGGTTACGGATGGATAACTCAACCACAACATTGCTATTGGTCATGTGGGCGAAAATACAATACACGTGTGACAAGATAGACCAAATTCTTGCATAAATCGGGACAATAGTTATACAGTGTGTCCCCCAAAAAAGTGAAACTATAGAAATTATCTCATTGTTCTTAAGCCGCTCTTAAACGCGCGTGATTACACGCCTGGGAATGTAATGAATTTGTATTTACATGCATTTAACGTTTAACGTTTTCATTTAACGTTTAACATTTAACGTTTTCGCTTTGTCCAAATATTTTAACGCCCGAGTCAAGCAAAACGATTACACTAATAAACGGTTTGCTTTTTTATTTTAAATTCCAGAAGCAGAAGTTTATGCACCTGTGGGATCAACTTAGTGCTAGGGCATTCAAATTATAACAACAGGATAATTTCTATAGTGTCACTTTTTTTTGGGACACCCTGTATTGCACTTTCGTGCAATCGTGGAGTCTCCAAACCATCTATTTAAATAAATGTGTCCAAACCATGTTTACTGTCTATTAATTTACTACAACGTTTCCAGGTGGAATTATTGTGATATAAACCGTGCACCGATTCTATTAACACAGTTAATAAATTGGTATTTACTCGCAGCTGTA